AAAATAATCTGTCGTTGACTTCTCCACGTGCGTGCCAATCTCGATGGCAATTTGTAACTGATAGTAGACCCAACTGACCACAAAGTGCTATCCAGTTACAGATACGAGAACATTACATCATCATGAATGATACATTGCGTTGGCATCACATTCGCATTCCAGTCCAGCTTGAGAGCAGAAAGGTTCAATCCGTCCGCTGACCTACGACCGTAGTACGAGACAAGTATGGGCAAGTCAACCAGTTCTTTAGCAACTCTGGCGCCGTGAATATACATAATGTACGCATAAAAAAGACGCAGATTTTTCACACGCCAAAATCGCATTAGTTGCACATCTCAGACTTGTATCAAATCGAGAAGATGGATTTAACAATTACTCTTCCGTGAAGGACAATGTTCTCCGCAGATATCAGGACGCAGAAGAAGGACTGGAGGAAGGAAGCAATGTGCTCTCTGCGAGCCCATATACAAACTCACATCCTTGAACTTATCCGAATGCGATCATCAAACTTTTAATGCGAACCTGTGTGTCTGAGGTTGAACAAATTTTGCCAAGAATGGTAGCGCATTATTCTTAAAGCTGGAAAAGGCAACATACACACATTCACAGTGCACACGTGTGTTTTCCACAAAGTTCAGTGGCTACATATGAGCAAAAAAATCGTGCAAAAGGCAATGAATCAGAACTGTAGAAAAAATAGAAAAACAACAGAATTGTAATACAATACGTACTTACTTAATGCATATGTAGTGCTATCATACGCAATATGATGCACCACGCTACGCATAATACCACATCATCACAAACAGAGAAGAATGGTTGAAGAAAAACACTCATATTTTAACTTTTTACTGTACACGTATGTAATATGCGCGCTTCTGTAATTGCTCCTACCTCATCATCTTGCATTCCAAGTGCCACTTTAATTTTCTCTTCAGAGAATTGCACAAATTCTTAAATACCATCTCATCTTTGTGCTCGCTGGGTCTCATTCCTATCTAAATAAATTGTATTACATTACAATCATCAACCTTACTACTTGAGGAAAATCTGCCCCTCCACCAACGGTCAAACCTCTGCTGTGAGTGGGTGGCTGGGTGAATAAACATGAGCTGTTAATTTAATCGAGCACTTGTTTAATTATATTTTCCATCAAATGATTGATTTTATTCCATGTTTATCCATTTCGAACGCAAGCAAAAACAAGCCACGATTACAGTTCGGTCTGACACCGTAAATCATTCTCAACAACAAATGAATGGAAATTAAATTAACGACTCAAGTCTTATGAATTGTTAGAATGTACCGATAAAAAAGCACTTCCTTATTTTTGCATCGCTGATATCTAGCTGCTGATAATTGCATGAATGTAGTGTAATTTTAACGACGGACTGTACTCTTACGACAAGTATAGAATTGTGGTCGTGAAAAAGGTTGTCCGACCACTTGAAACTTCTTCACTCAAAATCCACTTCATTGTTTGCTAAGGGCGCATTATGCAATGCGACTTCTTATCAAACTCTCTTCTCACTACTGTACAATCCAAACCAATAAATAAGCTATCACAAGCTCCTCAATTGGGTAGAAAAATCACAGGTATATAATTGTTGCATAATTTACTCATCAATTCTTGACAATGTTAAACAGATTTCTAATCATTTTCTCCCTCGTGTGGTGTTTAATGCAAGACAAGTGATGTAGTTTTACATGTCACATGATCACATTTTTACACATTTTCTGTGAAGAATTATTATTGCATTAGTGCAATTAAAGCTCAAAAAAATTGCATGTTAAAGCCTGGTGCATGTGCTTGTTTCACCGGCAATGCTAAAAATGCTTGTAAAATACCATCTGTACTAGATTCTGTAGTTGATACATATGCAAGCATACAACCCAATATATATCAAATATAAGAATAAGATTGTTGCATTTTAAGCGCAATAATTAGAGGTCGTCTGATACAAGGAAAAAAAAGAGTCCACATCTAGACCGAGGACGGCTTGATGACAACATGAAGCTTAATAATTCTACAAATGTCGGCAAAACTTAATAAAATATCTGTGTTAAATTTCTGCATATGTGTACAAGCATACTCCGGTGTAAAAAATAGTACTAAAGAAGAATGTTGCAGTAAGCAACGATTTCTGAATTGTTGATGAATATTTGTTTTATCTATCTGATAGAGATGAATAAGAGACAAAGGTAGCTTCAATTCTTCAAATTCACTTAACAAAAATTTTGTGGTGTGATATCTTTGTCTTTGTCAAAAATCATCCTCAGTCATCCATCACATTCATTTCTTTTCTTCTTTACAGATATTACACTGTTACTCTTTCTGCGTTACCTTCAACACTGTTAAAAAGAAATAACCCTTTCTCGTCTTGCTCAACCAGCAAGTCTCGAGTGTTTTAGCCCCTAAATGTGTTCGCACTCACATTTACTAGATTCAGACAGTGAGGCTGTTTGATGCAGTCTCTATGCTACTGACTTTGGTAGAAGAAGTGCGATTATTGTGCCTTCAGTATTGTTGCGAATTATAAAAAAATTATTGATAAAGCTCAATAAATCTTCGCTTCGAACTGATGATGTCCCTTTCTCTGCCTGAATTACTAGTACATAGTACACGCCCGATCACAATGATTTAAATTGACACCAAAGGTCACCACCGACAAAGTGACAAAAGCTCTTTATGAATCAGTCAGTGACAACAACAGCAGAAAAAGTGCATGCAGAGTACATATGTGCATAAGCACTTTGCATCAAAGTGAAACTACGCAACCGTTTCAAAAGGAATGAGTACAAAAGTCAAGCCCAGCAGCCAAAACTGAAGATTATTATTCAATTAAACTAAAGGTGCCAGCATATAACCAAAGTTTTAATTACTAATAAACTTTTCCATTTAGTACATCGTAATTAGCAAATGGTAAATAGTCACTGCCGAAAATAGCTGCGACAGGTTTACAGCTTCTTTCCTTTCGAATCCCACCCCTATAATTCCTTGCAAATCATTGCTTGGTCATCACGGTGCCATTCAGCAGATTCTCACCATCATCAAACACAAAGTGCTTTTTTTGAGTCAAGAGTGCTCAGTCGTGTTGATTTAACTATGATACGTACACATGTGTTAATACACCATTCTTCGAATATTATTAATGTATCGGTCAATGAATAATTCGCCTTTTTAAATTAATATTCATTAACAACTATGGCCGCTATTTCAGCATTGACCAAACTGCTGATAACTGCTTCAGTTTCATTATAAGCGTACAACTACCAAAATCAATACGACTTGACTGCATATCAACATGTTCCATAAATCAATACAAAGTTGTAAAACAAACGACAGCAATTTTTCTATTAAATGCTGTCATTTTTATGCCCAAGTAGTAGTCATTAAACGACAAAAATTCTATGTACAATTTAGTATACGCATATGCACAAATGAAATAGCGATCCCTCACCACTGACTGAAGTGACTACTGACAAGATTTGGTATTTAAATCATAGACGTTGCGTGCCTTCTTCCTTTCCTTTCAATTGATGCACAGCTCCCCAAGAATTGACCAACTGTTTTGCTCATCACTTTCATTATTTATTTATTCCCAATATTCTATCAAATCATGCACACAACAAATTCAACAAGTGGTCAAGTGAATGGAAATTAGTCAAATGGATGAAGTAATAAACCACAGAATACAAAAAAGCTTGTCAGATAAATTTGTGCTAATGTGGATAATAATGTACCAAAGCTGGGCACGACTAATTAATTTATGTACTCATAAAAATATTTAATGATTTCGACTTATGCTTTCGCAATTGAATGCATGCTTTGTGCATCTAGAAGCTCAATGAATTCAATTAATCGAAACATTGACAACGTTGGCTTTTTTTGCTAGCATGAAAAGATGTATGAACAAATTATCCATCAATACATACGTGTATGAAGCTGCTTTGGAATTTTTATTTATCTGTTAATTTTTGATGGATGCAAAATTAATCAGTGGGAACGAAATAAATAGTTCGTTCAACCCTAAACCAAGTTCACCAAGAAGTCATATTTGTAATGTTTATTATTTACCATTGGTCTTCATGCTATTGTCATTTGCTTCCTTTTTATTGCGCTCGCACACTGAGGCTCGTTTCGAACAAGAATAATTGTGATTATTACTCTGAGCATTCGGCCACTAATCGGACACAATCATCGACAGTCTTTTATTCCCAGGAGAATGGGGATGATTCATTACTGTTAATGGTGGTCCTGAATGATGGAAAATTGGCAGAGGTTGACTTGTGGGCATCTGATTAAGGATTTCTCAGATGTCAGTCAGTCATCAGCAGCAGTGTGAAATAACTTCCGGAATGAAGAAGAAGACCCGGTGGATTTTTACCGATACGCGGACATCTTATGTAATTGTACACTTGTACATAATTATTGGACATAGTGTATTGAATCTACAAACAAAAAATACTACTCATGATGAATGCCTATTGTTGGCGAGATGTTGCTATCTCAAGTTAATCATATTTCCGTATTATACATCCCATTTTATAATAACAGTAATAAAATGCCTTCTAAATAGCGCAACACCTCCTAATAACATGCGTGTCACATTGTTGCCAGTTATTTAATTGCAGTGTGTTGTCAGTCTTTCTGAGCTTGTACTTCACCGTTTTATTTTTATCCGTCAATACACATTTTACACCTTCAGCTACTTAGCAAATCCGAATGATGTATCCAATGTAAATGATGAATTATGGTGTATGTATGCTATATTTTTTATTATCATGAACAAGTGGTTTTGCTGATGTCAGTCCACACCTTCGTCGATCAGATTTGAAACCCACCCACGGAATATATATTAGCACACCTTTTTTTTCCTCCACCTCATCTCCATCCAGGCAGCATATTAATTGTTCAGAATTAGTAAGCATTTTATTGCTGCAGTTGCATTGCCAAAAGCGATGAATGGAAATAAGTACGTGAAAATCCTCTCGCTTACCTTTAGCAGTTTGTCCTTGGAAAACCAGACATCTTCCTCTTCCAGCGGATTATCAGGGATATTAAGGTCGTCCCGAGACCGAGACAGAATGCGTCGACGAGACACCATGGTGGATGTCCTTTCAGGCGAAGGAGATGGTGGCTTCTCGCTATTTCTAGAATAAAAATATAAAAAAGAAACATGAGCATGGAGCAAAAAATTAATAAAATAATTATTTGGCTGCCTTCGCATTGAAATTACTCGGGGAGATGCGCCTTCATACATATGTACATATTTCATCTTATGGATGCAGCCAGAAAATTTAATTCAAGTCAACAAGTCAATCCTTTGAGAATCGTTAGACTACTCTCTGCGTTGAGGTCTATACGCAGATCAAAATACACAGCACTTGGTCTGGCTGAAGATTTCACAGCGAGATGACCCATCGCCATCATCCATCATTTGTACATGACGGACACGACACACTCAGGAGGGGAGCTTGCGAGGTTGATAATAACAGATATTGGTGCCCTTTGGATATGTGGTAGGGACCCATGAGTGTACTAAAACCCTGAAGTAGTTTGACTCCATGGCCACATTTGCGCCCGCCACACCCACTCAAAAATGTCCAAAAAACGCTTTCACCCCAGTTTTCACTCACTCAAATCCACGCCAAAAATCCAATTTTACTCGGATTTTGAAATTTCTTTCACCATTATACTCCCAGATAGTTGCTTTCTTCAATCCAATATCAAACTCAATTTTTTCGAAATTTTTAGTATTTTTAAAATTTAAAATTCTGAATGAGCATTGTTGTAGTCATCAACAAAACAAATTATGTTTGCGAAATAATCATCAATAAAATTGAGTTTGATATTGGATTGAAGAAAGCAACTATCTGGGAGTATAATGGTGAAAGAAATTTCAAAATCCGAGTAAAATTGGATTTTTGACGTGGATTTGAGTGAGTGAAAACTCGAGTGAAAGCGTTTTTTGGGCATTTTTGAGTGGGTGTGGCGGGCGCAAATGTGGCCATGGAGTCAAACTACTTCAGGGTTTTAGTACACTCATGGGTCCCTACCACATATCCAAAGGGCACCAAGATCTGTTATTATCAACCTCGCAAGCTCCCCTCCTCAGCCACGCAGACAATTCTATTCTATTCCGGACATAATGGAACTTAATGCGAGGAATTATTTTCTATTCATGACTCTTAAGTGTGGTCCGCTGGGCTGTGTAAGAGTAAAGTTGGCGAAAGTTTATTTTAAATAGAAACGACCGGGTTACACGTGATACTGTGTCGCTGGATGATGATACCGCCCTGCAGACGGAAGAATAAATACTATGGGAGCCAGTGACAGTAATTGATTTCTGTTTCGTTTTCATCTGCGTATATCATGCTGTAATAGGGCACGTTTTCTGTAAAAGTAACGGCTCAATCCAACCTACGAAACAGAAGGCTTCAAAAGATTCTCAATGGATGCCTCATAATATGCTCATATTATGGTAGATGAAAAATAGTATTAGCATATGTGTGTAGGAGGAAACGTCAAATTGTGCAATAGGAACAGTAATAACGTACGTACTAGCCAAGTACACATTCGTTCAGCGTATTTTTCTCAGTTGGGACGAAAATTCAATAGATCACAAGGCACGCTCAAAACCAGGATATCAGGAATATTATAAAAGTGCGAATACAGTGTGATGACAAGTTCTTTGTTTTTATGCTCGCATAGAAATACCATAATTTGCAATAGGGAATAAACACTAAGATTGCGAGTAGCAATAAATCATAAACCACGCGGCAGTTATTTAAAAAATAAATTGTCTAATAAGCACGTATTGCCAGCTCAAACCTATTTATAAGACAATAGAAAACCTTAAAATTTTAAAAACGATGAAATTCCCAACCCGTGACATATGTATCTTGAGATCTTACAAAATATCTCGACATTCAATGAGATGAGTGTAGTGATAAGCGTGCAATCCGCGATGCTGGTGCTTGATAGCTTCATTGTGACACCACTCACTGGTGCTGGTGTTAGCATTAAATTTGATGTCTGTTTCACTTTTAATATCCGTTACCTACTTTTGAAATGTGGCGTAATCCGTATCAAATATACAAACAATTATAAATGGATGGGTCCATCTCATCGATTGATTTTTTCCCCTTGCATAATAGCCGTTGAAATTCACTATGGTGCGCAGATGCAACCATCCAATTCTACTCCTGCACCCAAGTATGCCAGTCCAATTTGGAATTGAAGCTACCTATTCTTTGTGGGTTTTATCATTCAACAACTCCTAAACAGAACACATGCACAATTGGACGTTTAGTTAATTGGTTTCAATTTCACAAACACTTCCACTAATTCATTGACGTAGATAGGCATGACATTATGCATTCCTATTAATTCATGTCATGTCGTATAATTTTTCATTCTTGAGACTTGAATTTGAAATTAGACGTAAAATAAAATAAATTTTCTTAAGAGAGCAAATGCACGCTTGTACATAATCAGTTTCTTCTCAATCTTAAATACAATACATTTTGTACCAAACTGCATATATACCTACATACATATATATAGACAGGTACGGCAAAAAAATGTTCCAGAGAGTCCAGGAGACGATAATAATAAAAAACGAATAAGTGGACGATGCCAATGAATTTGAAATCGAAATCAAACCAGCAATCAGTTCATTGTATTATCGAAGAATCGAAATGAAGAGTGGACAACCCTTTCGATTTTATTCTTTCCACGGGGCATTTCAATGATATTCATCGCTAACTCACACTGAATCGTTTATCACTGCTTTGATACTTTGGTCTTAAAAGAAAAGATGAGTCATACATTTTAACTGCATCGCATCTTTTATGCTGCAACATGCACTCGCACCAATGCTTTCAAAGCTGCATACATATTTATTTGTATTCCTCCACGTATTATGGTTGGTCCCTATATAGTTAGTTAGTAACTTATTGGGCTGGTTGTTGTTAGCATCAAGTTTTAAGCTGTGTGGGCTGCTGCAAAAATTCTATGCAATCTATTGACTTAAATGTTTGTCTCACTACTGAGAGTGCTTATGAAATGTGTGTACATTGCTTTCTTTGCCACTGTCATTGAAGGGAAGTCCAGCCAGCTTATTGCCAAAATAGGTCGACTCGATTGTTAAGTAGATTTCATATTGTGATGTTGGCATTTGACTGACATTCGTTCCACTACTCTTATTATACGTATCAGTAAAAAGGGCTCCGCAGGTTATGCGTGAATGTATGTATGTATTTATAGAGGGGCAAATAGCAACTCAAGTTTTCAAGCCACTTAAAATTAGACCACTGAGTGGCCGTTTGCTTTCAAAACTGCAACTTCAAAATAATTATTATTCACACGACGACCAATACTGCCACCACCCATTCATCCCATCAAGAAAGAATCGAAGGTCCCTGCCGAAGTGTGGTTTTGCAATGGTCGATACCATAAAGCGTCAGTATTTTTTTTCGATACGTGCACCATGGGCTAAATTATTATACGGCTCGACTCTTCAAGTGAGGGCAGAAAAGTAGTTGTTACGTTACACACTGATTATTTATTTGACACAATTGGAAGGATGAAGCTTCAACGAAACGAAGGCAAGGATGATGTAACAATGAACCTGAAGAAGTTGAGTCCAGTGTGGACGTGTAATTGGTTTTAGTTCCAATAACTCTTGCGAAATTTAAACTGACCACAAATAACGTAATCATGATACTTAAAAACTGTAACATTTCACAATCGCCTGTCATTCATAACTTGGTTTAGCATTACTTAAAGTATTTTGGGGTTATTAGGATTCTCAATTAAAACTTGTCATAACAAAACCACATTCTTCGGTGTCCTTGTTGCTCCCCATTCACAATAGGACAAGAAAACTACAGCTCGTATTATTACATAAATGGTTTCATGGCTTCTGTCAATTTCAAATGAGCAAAAATGCGTGAAACCCTATGCTCCACTCCATTTGTGTGTTTTAGTAAAAACACAATCATATGAAATAGTTTTAATTTCATAAAAATAAATTATCAACTGTAGTTGGTGTATGATTTTTAACCAGAATACGGATATTTGTTTCACTTCTTCTGCCAACGAGAAATTCGTGGATCTTTTAATCGTCAATTGCAATAGACACATCCGGAAAAAAAGAGTGAAATTGCAGCAATACATCATCATTCACAATGACAAGGTATGAAAACCAAGTTGCATTAATTTCACTCTCGTCAAACAATTCGCACAGCAGGAATTTATTTTGCTAACTAACCAATCCAACAAACAAACATTGACTCCTGCAATATATTTATATGTTCATCTGTCTGTTTGGCTTATGAAAAATTAAGTAAAAACAAGAAGCAAATTGGAGTCTCATATTAAACACAATATTTCTTTCGATTTGGTTCACGAGTTCTCTTTCACTAACAAGCTTTGCTGATATTTTGCTAAATGAAACAGAGCGATTCGACTGTGCAACCCCAACTTTTACTTTAATTTGCCAAACAACTTGTTGCAATAAAGCTAAAATATTGTACTCGATCCACAAGAAATTTACCCAAAATCAAAGCAAAAAGTTTTGCCACTTGAAAATACAGTTGTTCAATGATTATGAAATTACATAATTAAACTCAACCCCCATTGTTTGAACTATGCACGAAAACTTAAGACAAACTTAAACGAATATATATACTTCAACGAATGCAAAAACTTAAAATAACGTGATGCCAACTGCAATTACACGCTATTCATATTTATTACGTACATATGCTTGTATTAAGTAAATATAAGTACTAAATGTAAATTTAAGTAGTTGGTATTATGGATCAGTAAACTTGTGATTTCTCACGAGTCGACAAAATGCTGGTCACTCAATAACCAATAGGATAAAATCTTAATGAAACTGTTGCAAGGGCATTTGGTCCATTAGTAGGTAAAACAAGAGCCTTTTGAGAGTAATTAGATATCAATCAACCTCAAGTTCACACATGAACGTGTACACGTTTTACACATAACCACATTTGCGTAGGTATGTACACATGCAGGCAAATACTAATCAACAAGTCGAAATGAAATTAAAAGTGGATGGACATGCTCTGCTTTTCAAGTCAACGTAAACTCGAGCATACAATAATAAATATTGTGACACCAACGCATTGCAAATGACGTGACATGGGAAAGGTTGTCTAGTGTGCGTAGATATCTCCTTAATTTCTAATCTATTACGTTGTGTCCCTTACCTACGTATCTAAATACATGTCATGTCATGACATGAATGTCAAAGTTGTAAGAATTGAAATCCCAATCTTATAACATTATCACCGTCGTAGAATTTGCACCACATGCATACTTCTGACCGACCAATAAGTACAAGTTGTCCAATTTCACATCATAATCACAAGATCTCAACCAATATCTACTTATTTGCGTTCCATCCAGCTTGAATAATGCTACATATACGTAGGACTCACCTAGAACTTATGTACATATGTGCCTTCACTCTTTCACCCACCGCAGCATGGACGTATGTGAAAGTGACTATTAGTGACCTCCAACCTTCCTGCAGTGATTATTTCTTACATCATTCAATTAATAAAGCAGAGAATGAATGAAGGCAGGCCTTTGTCCTTTGGGATATCTACCGAATCTAGATTTTCGGCCATTTACCACACGGCTAATTTATTTAAAGTAATCGCTTCAGAAGTTGACTGCAACTGGTGACTTGACCCAAACAAATTGCTTCACTTCTTGTCTTATCACACATACATGTGCATACACCCAGCTGAACACGTCACTCATGAGTGAGAGACATTGACCATTACCACAAAACAACGCCACGCACTTGTTGTGGGGAGTGAGAAGTAATAGCAGATTAACATATTAAGAAGAAAGAGATAGTTGGCTTGTGATATCTTATCTCAGTAGAAATTCATTTGAATAATAATGCTAAATAATGTGAGATTGCTCGCATGTACGTCCGTACGTATGTATCCTTGTCGAGTTCTCTCTCGTCGGACGACCTACCCTTTTCCTTCACAATGTAAAAATGCTATAAATGAACCTTACAATGAATCTTACGTGCAGACCTATGAGATGTTTCTATGCATGTGTGGTATGCTAAACAATAAGCCACTGCAGAGATCAATTAGTGCACAATAAATAAACTATCGAATCACACTATACCGACGCTGATGCTTGTGCATGTATGTATGACCGTATGTATACGCGCATAATATTGATAGCATTATTGTGTCTGACAAAAACTGGTTAACGACTTGCGTTGCAAGTTGCAACACCTCGAGTCATAACTTGAGTTTTCAAATATCAAAGCAATAATGCTATCATTACTTAACTAAAATACGACAAAGTAATGGGCAGCCGCCACTAAATGACCAAAGCAGCAGCAATTTGTGGTCAATGGTCGCATTGCACCAAAGTTTTAAAGTTTAAATAGTAGATACGTAGATAGTCGATTGAACTAAATAAGTATATGCGAGGAATATGGTTGTTGGCAAAATTTGAATAGTGTGGATCACGCATTTCGCATAAAATCGTACGCATACAGTTGCATGAAAATAAGGTATAGACAAATAGGAAAAGTTTGCAATTATTATTTTTACAACAGCCTATAATAATAATGTTGTTCTTGTTCTGGTTATTAGAACTGACTTGCTACCACACGGGTCATAAAGGTGACAAATGCAATTACACCCTCTCTTCTGGCATGCACTACTTTTTTAAACTGCTCAATCAAAAACCACCCTTACTAAAATAATGACCAAGTCGTAACAAGACATAAGGAAGGCATAATCAACTCTGGTTATTGATTAAATTTCGTGCAAAAGTGGAATGTGACTAATTTCTAATGTCGAGTTTGGCTTGACGTCTCAATGCAAAACTTATAATTATACTCGCATGCGATTATCTACAAATTGCGGTCAAAGGAAACATTCGTTCTGTGTATTTTTTAAAAAGATATAGTGCATATTTATTCGACATCAGATCTCTCAGGAAGAATTAATGCTATCCAGTTGGCAAGCGAATAAATTTGCAATTATAACAATGAACGCACTTCATAATTATTTTATTGTCACATGAGTCGATCGATCGTAGTTCAAAACTTTTACTTTCCAGACCTTCGAATCTACCTGCATTCCTTCAAGTCCCTTAGGCCAAGCAAGGAATTCACTCAATATACTCAAACTGCAACTCTCGTCGGTGGATATGAGTAAGTACGTACTTCGATAATCTTACCAAGAATTAAGTCTCGGCAGGAAAGTACTATCCGACTGAATCAATTCTCTATTTCTAATTGTCAGGCACATCAAAGACCTAATTCAACCAGTAAACTACACGTGTTATGAAGTAGTGGGAATATGTGAAGAAAACAATTGTCAATTATTCTGACCTGATGAATGATGTTTAGGTTGCGGTTGTTTAAGTTGAAGTTGAATAATTGCCGTATGCCAAATATTCCGTGCTCGTTGGTTGAGGTAGAAATTGAAGCCGTGCGTTATGTACATACTTCTAACGTCGTGATGATGTGCTTCATTAGACCTCTTCCGTGGTCGGAAAGTGAAGCCAACGTAGCATAATTCATCAGTGGGATGATGCAAAAAGTGCAATAATAATCATGTATAATAGAAATAGAATAGCCAAGTCTATTCATCCGCTGGTACAAAGGCGCAAGAAGTTGTTGATTATATCGCACTGATAACAGCAAAATACAGAGACAGAAACATGGCTCACTGATCACTTACTTGCTGTTGGATAACAACAACTGTTAACTAATGTAAACTTAGGGTAGGTAGTAGTACTCGTATTAGTTGGTAATACATTGCATTAGAAAATTCTAATTTATGAACGAGGACAAATGATGCGAAATGACAGCTGAGTTAAAAACCATCAATTCTGCCTGATTAATAAAATAAAATCTTCCTCCCAGCTATGGTTAATATTTGGCCCTAATCCCCAACGCTACAATGTAGGCTTAAATTGCTATGCACGTGGGTTAAAAACAGGCCCCGGCGTATTCTATATCTGGTAATTTCCTTCATTTACGTGTTGAATAATTCCTGTGATTTACAGATTGCATAAGAGAAACAGGAATGAGAAAATAAACGGTAAAGATCAACGCGATGTTGTGAACTGTGTGCTCAGTCAGCTAAACTCATCATACATAAGTTGCCATCATCATTACTTCTTTCTGCCAACTGGTTGGTGATGAGGACTTATTGCGTTATTAATGATGACCAAATGTTTTCAACGCATAATTTTCTGAGACAGACCTTATTTATGCTACAGAGAAGCAAATCAATGATAATTTAGAGGTAAGGGTGATTATACGATTAAGGTTAAAATTAGCATTACCTAATTGAAATTAAAGTTGCATGATTGACACTTTACTTGCGAGATGCTTACCTTTTAATGCAATAAGTGAGAAATTAGTGGTTGTTGGCTTCAAATTTAATTTCGTCAGTAGTGGCAATCAAAACAGTCAAAATTGGAATATGAAGAGATAAAATTCTCTGTAGCCCTCATTTCTTCGAATGTTATGCTATGTATAAGAAGAACCTAACAAGTTGCATTCGACCTTCACAACTTTCCAGTAGAAATCTCAATGTCCTCGCCTTTGTCCTTGCCTTGACTATTTTTAACTTTAAACCCTCATCCTCCCTTGGCCACCATAACCAACAAACTCAACACTTTTCCCATCCTCCAGTCCAGCGAGGGGGAAACATTGTTTGTTTGTCTCAATACCATGATCCTTGGAATTGTATGGGATTGATCCCTTATTCCATAAAAGTTAAAAATTTACCCATGCAAAAAAGATCCATTACATAAAAATGAGTTATTTAGGCCATGACCCCAACATCGTTTATCTTGAATTCAAAACTCAACCACTCTTACTTTTTGGTATCACCAAGAAATCTGAGCACGGCTTCGTAAATAAGTAGGAAGTGAGAATTTATGTACATATACCTTTTCACGGCACACACTCCCTGTGATAACTTTCGATGAAAAAAAAACTCGATTTAATAATAAATTACCAAACCAAGGGATGCCGCATTATGATGAGACCCAGCACAGAGGTATCAATGGAGAGGTCGGCAGGTCATGTCATTAACAGACCCCGTGGTAAGGATATGCACACACTTACTTAAATGCAGGGATTAAACCACCAAAGTCCCATCCGTGGGAAACTTGCACCTTTATCCGGACCAACTCACTGTTGCACACGATATGCATTCATGAGAGAATAAGTTTTATTTATCTAATCCGATTTTGCCAACGCTACTTTTGATTTGATTTTTGTAAATCACAACTTTCACCTCTTTTGTCACTACCACCAACATCGGCGAGTTCTCAGTGATTGAGCCAGTCCAACTTGGATTGGCAAGTCGAAGGTTTGCTGCCTCAAATAGATTTAAACCGAGATTATTTCCTTCCTTCTGCCGTCCTTTATTGTGTTACCTAATATGACACGCAAATAGCAGGCAGCACAAAGTTGCAAATTACTTTAATTTGAATAATGTGACCCACTCTGTCTGCAAGAAGGTATCATCCCCATGTGGTTTAGTTTATTTTGTAACATCATAGCCAGCCGTGTTTTCCTTGTGCCTCTCGTACCTTTAGTCTCGTGAAATAGCGATAAAAATGTTTGAAATATTCAATCGTCCTTATGTATGTATGCAGCCATCTTACAACAATGCATGCGACGTACGTTTACTCGCTGCCACATGCACGTGCAACTTTCATTTGCGGCAATAACTAACAGATTACATCGAAATATTTTGTATTGTACATTAAACTACCACTCAACTTCAATTTGACTCCTAAATAAAGCGAGTGACTTATCAGAAATCAGTTCAGCGTGGTGGTTTACGATCGTCATGTTGGTCGTTGTTTGCCAAAATGTATGAGCACAATATGAAAATATTTAATGTATGCAATGTGTGGATCTCTAGAAACAAAAGTTTCCTGGGGCAGGAATAGGGTGTGTATCCCATAGTATTTTGACATGAGATGACGTATTGCAATAACACTAATTGTAAGAACTGTTCCTCGTGCCAGTTAAATTCAGTGGGAGTTTGCAAAAAGGTAACGCAAATTTCATGAAGTTGTAACTTGGATCCAAAACCCAAATAAAAATGGACAGTCTTGAGCCCTGACGGTGCGTATGCCAAATAATAATACGAGGATATTAAGCGGTCGTTGTCAATCGGTAAATAATAGACCACGACCACGTCCAATTCGCAAAAAGTCTGAAATGCCACGATTGTAAATTTTTCCAAACTTTAACATGCGTTGAGTTGGTCAACTCTAAATATATTTGAATAGAAAGTTTTTACGGATGAAGGTAAACACTTAAGAATTTGGATGACACCATCACCAACAGCTAGCAAGCATGGCGAAGTGGTTTAATTGCAATTGATTATCTTGCTATATAAGGAATAGGGACATTTATGAGACAAAAGTGAAAACACCAACTGCAATTGCTCCTTCATTCACCACTTTGCTCAATGCAATGATCGATACGAATGTGCATATCTACAAGCGAAACGTCTTGAGCCAACAATTACAGATAAAGGTGAACAAATTGTCAATCGAAATTGAGATCTGAGAGCGTATGAGCTTGTACACAAGGAATAACATGCACGGTTTCCACGCTCATTGCCAAGCCCTAATTTGATGTTTCACAGTTGGAGCATATATTGGTTTCAACAACGGGGAACGAAATAGAAGATTACTAACTGACCTACCAAACTCATTCATAATAATTCTTGTAAGCTCTCAAGCTCAAGGACTTTAAAACTTATTTCTCTGGAATATGAAATTTGATGAGGAAACGATATTAATAAACGAATGAGCCCTCCGAAGGTATTTTATCTCATCTAATTGGTCTGAATTCTAAAAAAAGGAATTCGACTGTTATTTCCCCCGCCGTGTGACCGAGTAAACTTGGCAAAACTTTAATATCAAAAGTTTTACTTGATGTTTGTCCAATTTTGGTGTCGAGGTAGAACAGAAAGAAGAGTAACAAAAGACAACGGCAAAAAGTAAGAGTTAAGAACCACGCCCGTATTATGGCTTTGATTTTTCTTATCAATCTCATTTAGACGGATAGGCCGGCCAAGGTGAATATTATATAGCAACATAATATAAAATATGTGTGCATACGCTTCTAGTAACTACTCACATGCATTATCTATCGGCATAGTGCACATAACCACCCTTTTCTTAAAGACCCAACATCTTATCGCTTTAGACTATTTCATGTTCAACACAATGATGGAGGTTAACTTAACAACCTCACTAATGTAATTATTAATGTGCTGTATTGTTGTCGAATGAGTGCGAGTCAAATAATTGGTGATATGTAGAATAGGCGATATTTCATCTCACAGTTTATGGTTTATTCAACACGTATTGCCTGTTTTAATTAATGGGTTTTGATAAGTAACTAGCGGAACATATTTTTAGACACATCTTACAACTTGAAATTACTGCCTTGCGTTGTAATGGATACAATTTTATTTTTAGCCAGACGTGACAATATCACAATGGGTATGCGTAGATTTAAGAAAATTTCGATGGGTTGATGGGAATTTAATAATGTGGAAAAGTGTGTGCATTAATAATAATAATACTTTTCAGTGGGACATAAAAAGCTCGGCACTACGACTAACTGACCTAGAAAATCTTTTTATAATGATCTATTTAATGTGAAAATAGGAGATTACGGTATTGTTAGCTACATAAATTTTTTCAAAGTGAAAACCACGTCAATGCCAAACACTCCTATTTCTGATGTGATCTGATCTGTACGTATGTATATACGCCATTAGTGGTCACGAATATACGTGCCGATCGTCGACTCTGTTTCTTATATTTTTAAGAAATTATTGAATTGGGAGAAATAAACTGTGCGACTTATATTTACGCATTAATTTATTGCAACCAGTAAGTTTTATGCTTTCAGAAGAAAAACATCCAATTGATGAAAGTGTCCCCATATAATACAGTAAGTAGCGCCACAAATGGCAAGTAAATAAAATATAGCATAATAACTTGATTTCCGAATGACAAAAACGATTTATAGTTCTTAACAATTAACAGCAGGTGATTTTTATTTGCATAGGAAAGCCAGAAATCATCAGAAGTCTACATTAGGATTAGGTTAACATGTAACATTTCTTGGCAACTACATACTGCAGTGCGCACCTTAAAATTCGTTCTATATATTTATTTGCGATGCTGCTAAAAGACTTTTATGAAAAATGCAACAAATCCTTCAAAATTAATAGAATAATTATGTTCAAAAGAGGCGAGTTTCTCAAACGAGGCAGAACCAGTGTAAAGAATGCACGACATAGCACAATTGTCATATAAACACAATTAAGTATTTGGTTGATATGCACAAATTGTGGCCACTTTGTTAAACTACGCCGAGTTAACTGGAGCAGTGGAATCATTTTGTATGCAAATAAATACAAAGAAATTTACCATTGTAGTTTAACGGGTGCCATTTCGTTTTCCCTTCCAAGGTCATCATGCGTAAAAAAATTCTTTAAAGGGCCTTTAAATTGTGGAAAATCCTGTCTCTGTGGACTCTTCCTTCATTTATTTTCCTCTATTTACCAACAAATAACCCAACAGCACAATTTACTCTTGACCATTAGACTGAGACTGCGATGATCACGCAGTGCAGTGTAATTAAACGGGTGCATCGTGGTAATCTAGATATGGTTTAGTGGGCTCTAACTGCCCTACAACATAAATACCCTGAGCATTGGTCACTCTCAATTTTCTAACAAGAAAGATGCATGGATTTGAGTTTATCTCAACTTTCATTGTTCAATTTCAAAATTTGTTGAGAATGTTGACCGATTTCGAAGTGAAAAGTTTATCCGCCTAATTAACTAGATGTTGCAAGAAATGCAGTTGTTGTGTGTAGTACCTTAAAAAATCCAACAAGCCATGATTACAAAAAATATCAAGTCAATTAAACTATAATTATCATTAATCTTTTTTTCTGATAAAAAATAAGTGCACTTTAATTAATAGATTTATATATTATTATTTCCATAAAAGTTAACTTGAATCTGTATGCAGTGTGACTAAATAGCCATCGTATCGACACTCTTGAGGACGAATTCACTTATTTTGCATCATCCATCCATGTCCGCCATCAAATTAGCACTATCTAAACATTTATAATATCTTATCGCTATTTATGTACAACAAGAAAGGTTGGTGTGGCCAAATATTAATGAAGGACCCACCCAAAATTGGGCCATGCCTTGCTATTGCTGTAACAAATACGTATCTATGTACATGTGCTACGAATATCCCCACTGACTGACAACATTGATGTTTATATATCAGTCGTATTTTTTATTAATTGGATTGAACCAGACTAAGTGACTGACAAAAAGGTCTAGGCGCAATTAATCATCCGTAAGCTTATTGATTCGTGTATGATGAGGGCTTGAAGCCCTTTACCAACTCACCACAACATCGTCGGTCCAACCAAACACAATTAATTAAGAAAACGTCGAACCTCATGTCGAAGGCTAATAAGGAGCAAGTTATGTACTACCAGTTCAGTTCTGCCTCAAAGAATAAGCGCGTTGAAAAGGAAACTTTTATCAGAATTGCAGAACAATATCAACACCAGCGCAGAACCACAAATATGATGAAAATACAGGTTTTTTCTCTCATATCTGCACTGCTGCATTTCAAACGTACAAATTTGTACCATTGCATGGTCTATATGGTTCTTTAAATGAATGCAATTTAGTTGCAATACGATTAAAATTAAAAAATCCAAAAAGTCAATGGCTAGCAACTGCTGCTCTGTATGTATGTGCTGCAGTTTCTGCACGTATGAATAAAGTAAATTTAAAGTTTTCTGCAAGCAGTTATTTTACAGACATTTGCTGCTTTTGGTTACTTCCAATCACCACAACACAAGAGTCTCTGTGATGATGATGATCATAAATAAATGCAGAAAATAGCTAAAACCAAGCCACAACAAAGATTCATAAACTTTTCCTAACCTACTTACTCAAATCACGAATGCGTTATATGGGCTGCACAAGTCAGGAACACCACATACTTTACAATAGTCTCTATTCTGATTCCTAAATTATGCTCATAATAAACCTCCGCATCTGCTGCCTTACGTCTGCCACGTATTATTATCCATGAGATTATGAATGAGCAGATGAATGAAGCAGGCCAGACAATGAGATTTTTTGTGCATGCAGGAAGATTATCTTCCTCAGCCAAGTCAAATCAAGGCTCACTGATTTTAAAACTTGGATGTGGTTTGGTTTTAAATATGTATGTAAAAGTAAAAGCAGTGCAATTAGTGAGGTGAGGAGAC